CTCTTGGAGCCATATCTCAAACCTAACAGGAAGTCGGATATTTTTAACTTCCTGCTGCATATAAGTGGCATTTTTGCCATTTCCAGGCGTTGTATCTTAACGAACTCCTCCTAGGGATTTTATGCTATCGACACCAAAATTGGGTTTTGTCATCTAAAGGCCTTGGCGATGTTAAATTGCGGAGCTTTATAGTTTTTGTCGATGGGCGTGTCCGTGGCGGCCCCGCAAACTTTGACGATTCGCCACAAAACCGGAAGTCATTATAACTTAGGCATGCATTATCCGATCTGCCTCAAAATTCACATGTTTAATAAGAGTCCAGACCAGAACACGTTTACATGCCAATATCCAGATACAGTTATAGCGCCACCTGCTGGCCACAGGAAATGTCATGATTTACAGAGTAATTAACTCCTCCCACAATTTTTTTGTGTATCAGCACCAAGTTTGGTGGGTTGGTATCTGAAAGCTTAAGTGATGATATATTGTCAAGATCTAGAGTTTTTGCAGAGGGGCGTGGCCGTGGCGGCATGACAAACCTCAACACTTCGCCGTGGAACAGGAAGTCCTTATATCTCAACCACACAAAGTCAGATCAGCCTGAAACTTCACATGGCTCATAAAAGTCCTCTTCTGAACACATCCCCAAAACAGTTATGAGTCAGTCATAACGCCACCTGCTGGCAGAAGGTAGATAGGCTTATAACTCAGCCAAACAACATCCGATCTGCCTGAAACTTCACATGGTTGATTAAATTCCATTACTGAAGGCATCTACCTGCCAATCTTAAGTCACAGTTATAGCGCCACCTGCTGGCAGATGGTAGTTTGCATTATAACTCAACCACACAAAGTCCGATCTGCCTGAAAGTTCACATGGTTGATAAAAGTCCTCTCCTGAACACATCTACATAACAACATTGAGTCTGTCGTAGCGCCACCTGCTGACAAAAGGCAGTTTGGCTTGTAACTCAGCTAAACAATGTTCGATCTGCCTGAAACTTCACATGGTTGATAAGATTCCTCTCCTGGTGACATCTACATGCCAATCTTGAGTCACAGTCATAGCACCACCTGCTGAGAGGAGGAGGTTTGGCATAAATCGGTGATTTTCTCCGATTTTTTAAACATATCGGCTTAAATTATTACTGTTCGCTGTTCTCTGTCATCCTGAGGCCACCGGGTGGCGGTGAGCCCGGGTGCGAGGTCCCTATCATCGCTGCTTGCAGCTTTAATTATTATTATTATTATTATTATTCTCCTCCGGAATGAATCGCGGTTTTGAGGGGCTAAACATGCCCGAAAACTCACGCAACTTTGCACACGCCTCAGAAGTGGCGAAAATTTACGTTTATTATGGGCTTCAGAAGTGGGCGTGGCAAAATGACTCGACAGCGCCACCTAGAAAAATTAAACGGACGAGCCCCCGATCCACGAATCACGCACATGCACGAAAATTGGCACACACCTCAAACATGCCAAAACATACGAAAAAGTCTCTTGGAGCCATATCTCAAACCCAACAGGAAGTCGGATATTTTTAACTTCCTGCGGCGAAAAAGTGGCGATTTTGCCATTTCCAGGCGTTGTATCTTAACGAACTCCTCCTAGGGATTTTATCCGATCGACACCAAAATTGGGTTTTGTCATCTAAAGGCCTTGGCGATGTTAAATTGCGAAGCTTTAGAGTTTTCATCGATGGGCGTGTCCGTGGCGGCCTCGCAAACTTTGACGATTCGCCACAAAAGAGGAAGTCGTTATAACTCAGGCATGCATTATCCGATCTGCCTCAAAATTCACACGCTTGATAAGCGTCCTGACCTGAACACGTTTACATGCCGATATCCAGATACAGTTACAGCGCCACCTGCTGGCCACAGGAAATGACATGATTTACGGAGTTATAAACTCCTCCCACAAATTTTATCGTATCAACACCAAAATTGAGTGGTGTTATCTGAAAGCTCTAGCAATGATATATTGTGAAGATCTAGAGTTTTCGCAGAGGGGCGTGTCCGTGGCGGTATGACAAACCTCAACGCTTCGCCATGGAACAGGAAGTCCTTATAACTCAACCACACAATGTCCGATCTGCCTGAAACTTCACATGGTTGATAAACGTCATCTCTTGAACACATCCACATAACAATATTGAAGTGGGCGTGGCAAAATGACTCGACAGCGCCACCTAGAAAAATTAAATGGACGAGCCCCCGATCTACGAATCATGCACATGCACAAAAATTGGCACACACCTCAAACATGGCAAAACATATGAAAAAGTTTTCTGGAGCCATATCTCAAACCCAACAGGAAGTCGGATATTTTTAACTTCCTGTGGCGAAAAAGTGGCGCTTTTGCCATTTTCAGGCGTTGTATTTTAACGAACTCCTCCTAGGGATTTTATCTGATAAACACCAAAATTGGGTTTTGTCATCTTAAAGCCTCGGTGATGTTAAATTGCGAAGCTTTAGAGTTTTCATCGATGGGCGTGTCCGTGGCGGCCTCGCAAACTTTGATGATTCGCCACAAAACAGGAAGTCTTTATAACTCAGGAATGCATTATTCAATCTGCCTCAAAATTCACACATTTAATAACAGTCCTGACCTGATCAGGTTTACGTGCCGATATCCAGTTACAGTTATAGCGCCACCTGCTGGCCACAAGAAATGACATGTTTTACACTGTAACAAACTCCTTCTACAAACTTTATCATATCAGCACCAAATTTGAGGGGTGTCATTTCAAAGCTCTAGCGATGATATATTGTGAAGATCTAGAGTTTTCAGAGAGGGGCGTGTCCGTGGCGGCATGACAAACCTCAACGCTTCACCATGGAACAGGAAGTCCTTATAACTCTACCACACAATGTCCGATCTGCCTGAAACTTCACATGATTGATAAAAGTCCTCTCTTGAACACATCTACATAACAATATTGAGTCAGTAATAGCGCCATCTGCTGGCAGAAGGTAGTTTGGCTTGTAACTCGGCCACACAATGTCCGCTCTGCCTGAAACTTCACAAGGTTGATGAAAGTCCTCCCCTGAGCACATCTACATAATAAATCTACATAATAAAATTGAGTCATAGTCATAGCGCCACCTGCTGTCAGAAGGTAGTTTGGCTTGTAACTCGGCCACACAATGTCCGATCTGTCTAAAATGTCACATGGTTGATGAAAGTCCTCTCCTGAACACATCCCCATAACAATATTGAGTCAGTCATAACCCCACCTGCTGGCAAAAGGTAGTTTGGCTTATAACTCAGCCACAAAATGTCCGATCTGCCTGAAACTTCACAGGGTTGATTAAATTCCTCTCCTGAAGACATCTACATGTCAATCTTGAGTCACAGTTATAGCGCCACCTGCTGACAGGAGGAAGTTTGGCATAAATCTGTATTTTTCTTAGGTTTTTTATATATATATCGGCTTATATTATTATTGTTCGCTGTTCTCTGTCATCGTAAGGTCACCGGGCGGCGGTGAGCCCGGGTGCGAGGTCCCTATCATCGCTGCTTGCAGCTTTAATTACTTTTGTTATTCTCAGAAGTGCTTTTATTGAACATGTTAGTTATGAAACATGCAGTGCAAATAACAAAACAAACAAAAGCTGTCACACACATATACAGTACACATTTAGGGTCTATAAAATATCTTAACAATTTTAAAATAAAATACAAAAGAACAATCATTTTAAGTCAAAGATACAAAAACATTTTGAGAGAGAGAGAATTTACCTCATTTTAACAAAATTTACCTCCATCAGCCTTTTTTTTAAATGTATGTATTATTGGTATCTAAAGGAAGCTAATATTATATTTGTGCATCTACAATCAGATTAGTCAGTACTGATGGCAAATCTGCAGCTTATCTAACAAAATAACTTAAGATAATAGTCTAAAAACAAGTACAGCCAAATTTATGTTATAGAAAAATATGAAATACACAATTTCAAAAAAAGATTAAAAATCAAGAGAAGCAAACAATTTGAAAAAAGTTTTTTAAATTTTGTAGGTTGTAATTTATTTTTGCAGTATTTTGCTTACATTTAATTGTATTATATTTCTATTTCTAAATAAGTTTGATGACTAAAATATTATTAGAATAAAAATATCTGTTTATTAAATCTGTTTTGTTTAAATGCACTAAAATACATTGCCTATATTCACTGAGAAATAATACAGATATTCATTTTGAAAATGGGGTCTACTCAATTATGCTGAGCACTGTCTACTGCTGTTTTTGAGGAATATGTAGTTTGCAGTCCTTGATCCAGCACTGTAAATATAAAAAAATACACAGATCTCTTAGAGGACATGATGTATAATTAAATATATAATCTAAGTAAAAACAATATTGTTTAGTTTAGTCTTCTGAGAATATCTTTTAGATTAGAGGGCGTCTATTGTCTCAACCTTCTTCATCATCATTTGCATTACAAAGAATACGCCAGAAATAAACATGGCATGTAAATTCTGTCGATAACCATGGTCATCGGTGGTTAAGTAAATATAGTGTGTCTTTGTGATATTAGTGCACTTCTCTGCTGCATGTTGTGTGGATCATGTATCAGGTGTTCCCTGTTCACACAGCTGCCTCTGTTCATTTCTCTGACCTGTTGAAGACTAAGTCTCTCGAGTGTTGGCTGTCCCACTTCCCATTAACAATGTCCTTGCTGTTTTCACAGCTTGCGTCTCGTTCGCCTTTGCTGCATTTTTGTCTTCAATGCATTGCTTGCATGGATTATTTCATATTCTTATCCAAGTGTTCAGTCATTTAGATGTTTGCTGCTGTCTCTGTATGCATTTCTCATGTAGTATTTGGACTCGTACACAGATTTGCTGACTGCAGATTTGTAATATTGTCCTGTTATTGTATAACAAATGCACTCTGTCAATGAAAAGCAAACAATTTCACAATGTCAGTGTTGAGTAACAGCCAGCATAGCACTTTTTTTTCCATTCCTGGAGTTCAAGCCAATATTTCTCTTGTTCAGATCCGGTACAGGAAGGACAGGATGCAGTCTAAGCTCAAACCTTGTTTTCCTGTGGTAAACGAAGTGAAGGATCTCTCAAACGGATGTGCCATTGCTGCTGTTATTCACTATTACTGTCCTAGTCTACTGAGATTAGAAGGTACGCTCGAATCTCAGATCTTCATCTGTTAGCTTATAGATGAAGAAGAAGTACATTTAAGGTTTTTTTGTTTATATGTGTTTTCAGATGCATGTATGAAGGACTCCATGACTGTGGCTGACAGCTTGTACAACCTACAGCTGATTCGAGAGTTCTGTGACAGTTGCCTGAAGAGCTGCTGCCCTCTAGTGTTGGAAGATTTACTCTACAGCCCCTCAGAATTAAAGGTATAGAGACTGACTTAAATTAAAAGATTTAGAACAACGTAAAATAGTACAGTTACTAAAATACGCTACTCAAACTTTTTCTTAAGTGCGTGTTTTTAAGTTTGAAGTAGGCCCCTGCTATGTTTTTATTGTGGTCATGAATCATTTATTTTTAATTACTTTGTATGTCACTTTTAAAAGGATTGTTCACCCTATAATGAATAGTCTCGTCATTTACTCACCCTTTTATACAGTTAATCTAGGGCCATATATACTTGCAAAATAAAATAAAGTTTTGCAAACAAAAAATATTGTATTGATTTAAAAATAAATGCAAATCTCCAAAAAATCGCAGAGCGAAAATGTATTTTTGAGAAATAAAAATTAATTTTGGAAAAAAAAAATAAAGAAATAAAGAACTGCAAGGAAAATTTAGGTTTAAAAAAATATAAATGAATTTGCAAACAAAAAAGCAAAAAAAGCAAATAAAAATCAAGCAGAGCAATAAAAAACCCAAAATATTTGCCACAAAACCCCCATATATATATATATATATATATTTGCAAAACATTTTTTATCACATTGCCTTTAGAAAAAGTCGATTGCAATGGTCATTTTGAATTGCTTTTTCGTCAACCATTTGTGATGCTGTTTTCACTTTGCATTTCACTTTGTGGCCCTGATTAGACAAGGGGGCAGAGTTAAGGGAACTTGAATGTTTATGGCAGACCTGCCTCCATTCAAGCGACATCATCACCTGAACACACAGTATCACCGAGGTGGTCTTACAGCCCAGTAGGTGAACGCCTGATATAAACGGCCAAGTTCCCTTGACTCCGCCCCTTTGTTAAATCAGGACCACAGAGTGAAACACGCAGAAACGTGAAGTGCAAAAAGCAAATCAAAATGAGCATTGCAATCGACTGGACAGGTTTTGTACTCCAAATTTTTGGAGACTTGCATTTATTTATTTTTTTTGCTCAATACTTTCTTTTTTATTTACAAAACTTTATTTTAACCTTATTTTGCAATAATATACAGTTGAAGTTAGAATTATTAACCCCCCTGAATCATTAGCCTCCTATTTATGTTTTTCCCCAATTTCTGTTTAACGGACAGAAGACTTTTTCCAACACATTCATAAACATAATAGTTTTAATAACTTTTAACTTAACTGGGTTAGTTAGGTTAACTTGGCAGGTTAGGTTAATTAAGCAAGTGATTGTACAACAATGGTTTGTTCTGTAGACTATCGAAAAAATATATAGCTTATAGAAAATATAGCTTGAAGGGGCTTATAATTTTAACCTTAAAATCGTTTTTTAAAAAACTGCTTTTATTCAAGCCGAAATAAAACAAATAAGATTTTCTCCAGAAGTAAAAACATTATCAGACATACTGTGAAAGTTTCCTTGTTCTGTTAAACATCCTTTCGGAAATATTTAAAAAAGAAAAAAGGGGGTTTAATAATTCTGATTTCAACTGAATGGCCCTGGATTACCTTCATACCCTTCACTTGTTTCAAACCTTTATGAACTCCTGTTGAACAAAACAATATTTTGAAGATGAAAACCTGTAGCTAAATTATTGACCTGGTACATAGTATTACTTAGTACAGGTTTGCCACGTCTTCAAGATATTTTCTTTTATGTCCAACAGAAGAAAGAAGCTCATAATAGTTTGAAGCTACTTGAGTGTGTTTAAAAAATCTTAGAAATAATTGTGATTTCAAGATTAAAAGTAACAATCAATCAGATGTGCATTCCCTAAAACCATTGTTAGCCAACTAAGGTCGCAAGTTCCATAATTACAAACATAGTTCATTGATTTGACGTTTCCCAAATCCGTCGTTCCAATGAACATTTGCAAACTGCGTCGCAAACTTGTAAGCTTGCAGCTACGCCTCTAGAGCTGTAGTTCCTGGTTGTGTTTTATTATCGGTGATCCCCCCTATGCCTACCGTTTAGAATGTTCTAACATTTAAACTTGGAGTGCTTAAAAAAGCATTAAAATCATCTCTCTTAGGTGTAATTTGCTTTCAAAATATTTATACAGTTCGGTTTTAGCGATCTTCATGTTTACAATTCTGTTGCCTTTGTAGTGCGCTTCACTTTGAAAACATTGATGTCATTTTAAACACAGGCGTGGCTCATGATGAAAGCTACTGTATATGTGACCTATTATTTAAAAGCGGAATTAATGTTACATCTTCAAACCTTGTGAAAACAAAAATGTAGCATACATTACTGGTTTTAATTAATAGTTAATATCAAATAGTAGGTTATTTATTAAGTATCTTTACTGTATATAACATGGGCCTGCTGGTTAGAACATTTCTGCAGTGGTTTGCATGTGCCAAATTGTAAAAGTAGACTTAAAAAAAAAACAATATCATACTTATTAATGATAATAATAATCATCATCATCAGATATTATTATTAAACTATGATTTTTTCATTTCCTAATAAATAAGAAATATTAAATTTTATTTATTAATAAATAGCCTCATTATTTTTCATTTTTATGATTTATATATGACATTAGAATATGTGTTAGCTTTTGTAAGTGATGTTATGTTTAAAAATATAATATGTAATGTTTTCAATATTTGTAAAGGAAACACAGGCTCTATATGTTCCATTTACATATATTTCAATTAATATGGAAAATGAGTTCATGTTTTTACCAAAATTAATATTGGATTTTTTAAATGCGTGTGCGTGTAAAACAATATAATTTGCACAAAGAAATTAAGGGGTTCTTCTCTAAAGAAGTTGTCATCATTATGGGCGTTTTATGTTATAACTAAGGTGGTTTAAACAGATCTGCAACAGAGAAACTACAGTTTTGGGAATCACTCATCACTACATTGTTCTTTACCCAAACAATGCATCATACTATAATAGTTCAGCGACAAGTTACCTTGTTGTTTGGGAAACGCACCCCAGTTTAGTTTGTTGCTGCATAAAAGCCACTAATCCAAATGGTAAATTCATTAAAATACTGTTTGCAACTGTTATGATTTGAGGCACTAAACCCACTTTGTGTATGATGGGTAGAATGCAAATCGAGATTCAGAATATAAAATTTTTTTCACCTCGTTTCTGTTCAAAGACTTTGCAGATAGAATAGATGAGGCCTTTCCTAATCTTTGTCCTAATCTTATTCCTGTGGTGTTTTATACACTGTTTTCCCCTCTCCCTAGACAAATATACTAAGCTTTCTGGCAGAGCTCTTATATTGGTTTGAGGTCTCAAAGCCAGAGTTTGTTCAGCCCCTGCAGGACTCAGTGACTGGTAAGTGTATGTCTCAATGAATTAATGAATGCATTACTTTCCTCTTGGTTTTATTTTAGTTTTGGCATTTACATTGACTATGTAAATAATGGAAATGTAAGATAAATACTTTTTGTTGTTGCAGAAACTTCTGGAAAGATCAATAATGGGAACAGTGGATCCAGCAATGGGTATAACAGAAAGCAATGTTGTTGTTTAAAATCTTTATTTATGATATTTATAAAGTATAAAGTAGTTTAATACACATAATTATAATTTGTGTATAATTTTATTTCTAAAACTATTATAGATTTTATAACTTAACATTATTTACTTGTTTTTTTTATATGCTAGTGGATCACCTTCTATCTTCAAAAAGCCTTTCCTCCCCATCTCTTCCCCTGTGACTGTAGCAACAGGTGAGGCCAACATGCAGTCACTGTGTCCTGAGTCATCAAATGTGTCTGTGCTGTTCTTTCATTGTATACGTGTATACACTGTTTATTCTCATTCAAATAAAGCAGGGGTCACCAAACTTGGTCATGGGGAGCTGGTATCCAAAGGAGTTTAGCTTTAATGTCTCTCAACACACCTGCCTAGAAGTTTCAAGTATACCTTATAAGACCTTTATTCGCATGTTCAGATGTGTTTGGTTAGGGTTGAAGCTAAACTCTGCAGGACACCGGCCCTCCAGGACTGAGCTTGGTAGATCCTGACATAAAGGAACAATCACATGGTCTGTGTTTGCATGTTGAATGTGTCATCCAGTCTTGTGTGTTTGTGTTGTCTCTATGATTAGGATCTCTGACTCAGTCTACCTCAATGTCTCATGTAGAGGCAGCAGGACGATCATGGAGTAAGAAACCACTTAGGTAAGGTATTTCCATGTCGCTTGATGTATTTAATTTTTTAAAAATAACACTTTGTCTTAACAATATTTTTTTATGGTCCTTCAGTCGTCCGCTGTCTGCTGTGTCCTTCAGTATCCCCTTTGGTCTGGATAGTGATGTGGACATTGTAATGGGGAACCCTGTTATTACTCGGTCTGTCAGCTCGGACAATCTCAACCCTGGTGGCCAATCCATGACACGTGTCCCCTACACGCCTCCAGAGGACCTTAGCCACTTGCTGAGTAAGGCCCCTGGGCCTAATGGCCCTCAGAGAGCTTCCTGGGGTATTCGAACTCGTCCAATGCTGGCTGAAGAGAATGGCATTGAGGAAAGTGAGACGGGAGAGCTTCCAACCATTGAAGAGGCTCTGCAGATCATCCACAATGAAGAGAAGATGGAGCCTCGCCTTCACCCTGAGGGGGCACCCGATGGTTTCTATCTGCATTCACCAGATGATCCAGCTAACGCAAGACTCAATGGCAGCCCAGTGACTCTCAGCTCTTCAGCCCCATCCCGCTCAGGAATGCTCTACCACAGAACACCAGGAGTCCCCCCAGAGCCCAGCCGCACCAGACATCCATCAGAAGGATCAAGAGATGACGACTCTGTATTAAGAGATGGAAGCGTGGATTCAGATGCTTCCGAAGATCTTCCAAAAACCCACTCCACCCCTGTCACACCCGCTTCCGGTCCTCGCATAACACAACCTCGTGGTGAAGAGACGCCGGACAGCGGTGTGAAGATGACAAACTTTGCAGAGAGAAAGAAGAAGCTGGTTCCAGAACAGGTACGGCCCAGTGAGCCAGAGGCACCACAAATGACAACGTGGGCCAAGAAATCAGAGGAGAGTCCCAGTAAGAGTCCTGCTCTCAGCACTGAAATGTCAGAGCTAGGGGCCAGGCTGGAGGAGAAGCGGAAGGCCATAGAAGCTCAGAAGAAACGTATTGAAGCCATCTTTGCCAAACACCGGCAACGGCTTGGAAAAAGTGCCTTCCTACAGTTAAAGAAGGAGCAAGAGGATGGAGATGGTGAAGAAGGACATCATGGGGGTGGCAGTGCCACCTCCGTAGAAGACGACCTTAGCCGTTTAGCACTGGAGGAGAAACTGGCACGTTTGGAGAGGGAGGAACAGCAGGAGGAGCAACAGGAGGAACAGTTGAACAAGGGCCCATTAGTAGAAGAAGCGGGGAATGTTAAGCCTTCTGTCAAACAGGACAAGCATGGAGAGAAACAAAAACCTGAAGTAGAAACTCCTGGAGGGAAAGGCACAGCCCCACTGGGTGAATATAACAATGCTGTTTCTAAACTAAGTGCTGCACTCAGTTCTCTTCAAAATGATATGCAGCGCCTCTCAGAGCAGCAGAACCAGCTGATGAAGAAAAAGGCAACTCCTACCAAGCAGGCTTGGGTCATCCCACCCAGCTCCAAACCTTCAACGACTACACCTCGTTTGTCAAGAGAGTCCACTCGTGAACTTTCTTCAGCCACCTCCTCTCCTTCCCCCTCTCGAAAGATTTCAGGTCACACCGGTCCCCCAAAATCGCCTGGAGCCCATCGTAGGGCACAGTCTGCACCTCCGAAGAGCCCCAAAGTGCATCACCACCCTCGACCTGCAGAGCTCAAGACACCCATTTCCACTCGAGTCATAACTCCTCCTCAAAGTGTGGACAACATTCCTCATTTACGAAGAGTGTCTCCATGGCAATGCAGGGATCAGAACTCGTCCTCCTTCAGCATAGGTACACCCAGTCAGAGTGAGTCCCGCTCTGCCTCATCCCTGGCCAGACCAGAGGATAATTTCTCAGACACAGGCTCCAGTGAAGACCAAACCATCTTCAGTATGGACTTAGATGGTGGATCCTCACAGGTTCTGCCCCGAAAGGAGCGTCAGGGTGGTGGCAGCAGCTCAGGAGCTCCTTCTGAGTGCTCTTTTGAGAGTGATATTCCTGTAGCAGCTCTCAACGGAAAGCGTGGTAGTCTTATCGAGATATCATTGTCATCTCTCAAAGCATTAGATGGGGAAGAGGCAGATCAGAGCCAAGATATCTTCTCAGACTCTATGAGCGACCAAACAGAGCCAGAAACAAGGGGTGGAGTTGGATTCTTCTTTAAGGTGAGTGCAGAATCAATTGTTTAACTTGTAGCCTAAAAGGTGTAAACATTTATTTAACAGTCTGAAACTGTTTTGTAGCAGGATGAAGCTCGACCAGAGGATGAGATGGAGAAGAGAAGAGCCGCATTACTTGAGAAACAACAGAAGCGAGCAGAGGAGATGAAAAGACGAAAACAGGAACAAGAGAGAGAAAGGGAGGCAAGGTGAGGCTTACCAAAAACCAAGCTTGAGGATTCAGCAAATCATTAGGCTTACTACCTTCCGGCATATTTTAGTTGCAACCATGACCAGGCACACCTGAGGCAATTAATCAGGACCTGAAGCAGTACTTGATAATTACAAACAGGTGTGTTTGATCAGGGTTGCAACTGAAATCTGCTGGAGGGTAGTTCTCCAGGAACAGGACTGGTGACCCCTTTTCCTACACATAAAAATACCATAACATGTATGCAGATATTTGAGAAACATGCTACGTGAATACACCTGTTTATTCAAAAACATTACTAAAATCAGTTATTTTCCTTTGAGAAAGTGCACACTGTGTCAGAAAGTCTTTTCTTTGGTCTGTGTAACACCACACATTGCCAGTTTCCCATTTATAATTCTCTACTCTGGGTTGCCTTGATAGAAAACACAGTAATTTCAACCACCTGGTGTCAACCCTACACACTGCACCTTTAACCTTGACAAATAATACCAATTTAAATGGCATTTGTGCAAATCTAAAACAAACAAGAAATGATGTGCTCCTAGAGCAGTGTCACCCACATGACGGAACTCATCGTGAGAATTGGGGAAAAAACTAAACATGCTAGACTTTCTGCGATGGTGTCGTGAGGCGTCGCAGGGATGGTATTTGTTGTCATGGACTATGACACATTACATGAAAAGAAACAATTAAATCTTTATTTACGATGCCCATTTGTCATTTACAAATTCCCATGAGACCCTACGTCAAGGAAATCATTCCCAAATAGTAACAAATTCATGTGAACTGACCGGGGCTTTAGTTATAACAGTGTAATAACCAATTGTGTCCATAATCAATGTTCTGATAATGAATGTTATCAATATCTATTAATGCAACAGCAGGTCATCTTCAGTGGATGAGCCTCGCAGAGGAGAGGAGAGACCCCAGACACCTTCTACTCCCCCACCTCCCCGCACCCCTCCACCAGAGGGCACTCCTCAGCGGCGTGGTGACTTCACCCGCCAGGAATATGAACGGCGGCACCAGCTGAAAATAATGGAGGATCTAGATAAAGTCCTCCGCCAGAAACCCACTACTGTCAGAGGGGTCAAGAAGCAGAGGCCCAAAACTGTGTTTAGAGATGACTCAGACCTCTCCCGCAGCCCTGCCAAAGGGTTTATGGGTAAGTCATAGGTCCATCGTTAGGTTTGCTTCCCTTTGATTTATATATTAATAAAGCCACACATCACATGTCTACTTGCCTTTCTCTCAGGTTCAAGACTAAATAAAGTTTACTCCCATTCAACAATGAATCTCTCCTCCATGGCCAATGACAGTGGGACATTAACTGTCAGAAAATCTCCAAGGTAAACTGATCTGCATGTATTCTCTTGATAAAACACACCTGTTCCTCCTTTGTGAACTAATCTCCGAACATTAAATTATTTCCACAGTCGTTCTCATTCACCTTCCAGACTGCTGTCTCCAGGACGTCTTGCTGCACAGAATGGGGACTGGGATAATGCATCTACTATTTCATCCCCAGCCTCTATCCCAGAATACACTGGTAAGCTCTAAAAAGGACACCGTTTGCAGTTAGTGGTGCTTGCTATGACAGTTGTTTACAGTTGTGATTAGGTAATTGAACAACCTCGAGAATTTAATTTGATTAGCTATGATTTGCACTAATTTAAAGGTCTGATTTCGGAAGCGTGGCTTTGCTTAAAGAACCACCAAACAAATTATGCAACTCATGTTTAACCATTTAATGTCTCTTACTTTTCTTTTGTGGTATTGTAAACAAAGAGGAAAGTACTTCAAAAGCAGTAAGGCAACAGACTTCTAAATAATTCTTCTCGACTTGATCTGTATGGTCAGTATGTTTTGACGGTCAAAAAGGATGCTTGATTTCCTATCTTCCTACACATCTAACTAATCAGGCACAGTAAATAAATGACTCAACATGTATTTTAATACAATACGGTGACAGGATACTGTGTTTAAGTATGCTTTCACACAACACATCCTATAATTTTCTCATGCCTGTCTAAACACTTTCGGCCGTTTGAGCAAAGCAATCAGATCTAATGTAATTTTAGCTACCTCTGGAAGTGGTCAGTGGTGGACAAAACCTTGTTTACCCTCTTTATTTAGCTTAGTCCACTAGCATAGGGATTGGATTGTGGAAAATATATCTTAATACCAAATGTAAATAGCACATAGAAAGATCAAAAGCCCTAATGATGATCCCTTTTTTCAGGACCTAAACTCTACAAGGAGCCAAGCTTCAAGTCCAATAAGTTCATTATCCATAATGCCATCTCGCGCTGTTGTTTGGCAGGAAAGGTTAACGAACCACAGAAAAACAAGATTGTAGAGGTGAGTGACCCATCAGTCAACATCTTGGTGCACTCCGGGCTCTCAGGCTCCAACAGATATTTGCATGGCGCATTTGAATGCATGATGTAATGGTATGTTGTTTCTTCTATGCTAAAAGGAAATGGAGAAAAGTGCTGCAAACCATTTCCTCATCCTGTTCCGGGACGCCAGCTGTCAATTCCGGGCAGTTTACACCATGAACCCTGAGACCGAGGAGATGGTTCGGCTCGTTGGTATTGGCCCACGAGTAATCAGTCCCATCATGGTGGAGTCGATCTACAAGTACAGCTCTGACCGCAAGCAGTTCACAGCCATCCCGTCCAAAACCATGTCCATGAGTGTGGATGCCTTCACCATTCCCAGCCACCTCTGGGAGCGCAAGCGCCCGGGAACCCCAAAGAAGCTCGGGACCCCAAAATAAACCTTGCTGCAAATACCAACAATGCCCGAGCTGGCCACGTCACGCCAGGTTTCTGTCCCGTCTTTAGTAGAGATGCAGGGACACGGGGACGTGCTTGCCAGATGAAAAAGTGGGATAACAAATAAAACAGGCCCTAATACAGAAACCCTAAAATGAAGTGCCCTCAGAGGTGACCGTGCAAAGCCTCTTTGCGCATAACTACAGGTCAGGTTACAAAGGTCTGTTCATAAAACTCCATTGCCATTTTCTTCAGGTAACTCAAGAGATCTCAAGTCATGTTTAGAAGAAAACAATACTCAGCGTTTCAACTTGGCGAATCTTCCATTCTCGTTATTTAAGTACCATGAATGTCCCCCACAACGCAAATAAAAAAAAGAAACGCTCCTTTTGTTTGCTCATTGAGCCTAAAGGTTTGATGTGTGAAAGGATGCCGCGGATGAAATCAGATCTTTGATGAATGTAGGGCACAAACCAACACAAGCCTTCTTATCGTCTGTTCATTGTCAACAGCCTCTCAGTCTAACCTGACTTGACTGTTGAATTGTATTACAAATGGGCGCAGCAACTTAACCTTTATGTGACGTTATAAGAAAAAGTCCCCTGCTGCTGTGCGTTTCGTGTCTGTCTTGCTCTAACGAAATAACGAAACCGCCCCGTTATTCTGCCTTCCTAAAGTCAGTCATAGACACCTGGATGTTTGTTTTCTTACTTGGGAACTAATCGAACTGGATCTCTCAAGCTTTTGGAACTCAGGAGAGAGCATGTTGAAGATCTTTCCTCCACTCTTGCTTTAATTAAGAATGAATGAAAAAAGAAGCAAAAAGATGCCAGAACGTGCTTTCGATTTCCACTTATATAAAAAAGATGAAGGATGTCTTTGTATTCTGTTTAGCTGTACCTGAAATAATAATATAAGAAAAAAAATTCCAAGGCTGATTTAATATACTGTATATTTGAATGCTGAATTCTTTCCTTTTTTGACGATGATTTGTATATTGTGGAGATTTGTAAGACATGAATAAGCTACCCTGCTGCTTCACTTGTAGAGCTGGATGTGCTGGTGTGAATGGGAGTGTGAGCGGGACGGAATGAGACAATAAACGCAAGTCTGATCTTGAATCTCGCTTACGGACCTAGAGCTGAGTGAACAAGTGGTCTTGTTTGGTGAAATTAAATGTACACACTGAAATGTGACATACCAATAGCAAGAAACTCTTAACAGAAAGTGAATGATTGGGCAGATGAGCCGCCTTTCTAATGAAGGTCTATGAATTGTCTTCAAACTGTCTAACTTGGCCTTATTGGTTTCTTGAATGGCTCTAGTTGTCTTTTTGTAAAGAAAATAGTGGCATTTAATCTGTTCCTCCTCATCAAAGCACTAAAAGAGCTGATTCGGTTAGGCTGCCGTCTCCTGTCGAGAATCAGACTAACTTTATGTACATATTTTTGTAAAGAGCAAAAAAAAAAAAATCATTTTTGAAATGGTTGAATGATGTTTCTGTGTCAAATGAGTGGGAGTTGTGTAGTCTGCATGTGATTGTCTGCTGGGTGGAACGTGATGGTTTAACGTAACTGGATTCTGTGCAATTTTGTAGTATGTTAGGTCACCTGAGGTGTATTTATTTGGGTAAGGATGAGCTAGAGTTTTCTGTGTAGTCTCAGATTTATTATTTATGTTCTGGCAATTGTGGTGATTCACTCGTTCATTTCAGAAAGCACATTGATGTTTTGTATATTTTCCTTTTGCTGTTTCCATGTTCATGTCGGTAGATTTTGTTTTCTCCTAAGTTCTTTTGATTATGGATCATTCCCATCTGACAGGATTAGAAAAATAAAATCATTTTTAAATAATCTCAATTATTTTTCACCATCATCACTAAGTTTACGTTTTGTAAGTTACGTTCATTAAATCAGCTTTTGGCATTTTATATACATTTTCATTTTACTTATAAACTAGGGCTGCGTCTGAAATTGCCCACTCAGTAGGTACTGCATTTGAATTTAAATGTACCACTTGGCCCTTAGAAAAGTATCTTCAATACCAGAGATGCTCAAACTAGGGCCCGTGGGCCAAAGTTGCCCAGTTGTAACCTTTGATTTGGCCCACCATCCCATCTGAGAAAGGTGTGCAAATGATGGGCAGGGTTGGGGTAAATACTTTGAACAGAGATTGTCATTTCAAGTTTAAAGTAATCTTTTTTAAGGGCAATTTAGCTTATTTAATTCACCTATAGCGCTTGTCTGTGAAGGGAAACCAGAGCACATGGGGGAAATCTACGCCAACACGGGGAGAACATGCAAACTCTACACTGAAATGTCAACTGACCAAGTCGGGCCTCAAACCTGTGACCTTGCTGTGAGGCAATCGTGCTACTCACTGCTTCACCACAAAATGTAAACAATGTCACTCGACAGATAGAAGACAATGCTGAAGACATCTGCGAGCAAATCAAGGCCCAGTTGGCGTTTCAGTGTGGAGTTTGCATGTCCTCCCTGCGTTCACGTGGGTTTCCTCCGGGTGCTTAGGTTTCTCCTACAGTCCAAAGACATGCGGTACAGGTGAATTGGGTTGGCTAAATTGTCCATAGTGTATGAGTTTGTGTGTGGATGTTTCCCAGGGATGGGTTGTGGCTGAAAGGGCATCTGCTGCGTAAAAACTTGCTGGATAAGTTCATTCCGCTGTGGCGACCCCGGAATAATAAAGGGACTAAGCCGACAAGAAAATGAATGAATGAGTATGAATGGAACTCAGACACTACACCCGCCATTTTGTCATCAAGTGACCTACCTGCTTCAGTTCCGTCGATTCACTCCTATTCGTGAAATATCTTGCGGTGCATCATGGGATAGCATAACATCTGGAAGTAGTAGGTCATTTGAGTCTCACATGCTGCGTCCCAATTCTCATACTATCCCAAATCCAAATTTCCTGTAAAAATTTTAAGTGTAGAAGCGCCCATACTCCAACAGCTGATTTAGCCCACAGTACAATGCACGTTGGACGTAAATTCGATTAGAATTACAAATGCGGGTGAAAAGTGATGATAAACTACAAACACGATAGACGCGCGAGACCAACCGTCAAGTAGAGAGGTTTCGGCAAAGATGTTTGCATCGTGGGATAGCGTAGCATCTGGAAGTAGTAGATCATTTGAGTACTTCAATTGATCATCAGACCTTTAAAAGTAGTAAAATTATCTGTTCTAAATAGTATTTGATGTCCCAAATCCAAATTTCCGGTAAAAATTTTAGGTGTAGAAGCGTCCAAACTCTAACCGCTGATATTGTCAGGTAGAAAGGTTTCAGTAAAGATGTTTGTATGTTAATATCTAGCCACCTGGAAAATATTTCAATCACATTTTCTGTGTTATATTTCATCTGCAACAATACTGAACATATATGAAGACATGTTTGGACATTAACGTCTGAATGCAGAATTATCCAAAGACCTGAGGAGATTTCTCTGCATGAAAGACTCGCAAATGGGAGATTAACCTGCTGCTGCTTCTCCAATAAGGTAGGAAATTAAATATAAAAGAAATGTGGATGGCGTGTGGATGATTGACAACAGGGCGACTAAGCAACACAACGATCTGTTAACGAGGAAGTCGTATGTCCTAAAGCTTGCATACTCAAAAGTATATAGTTTTCCTTCATAAAAAAGTGCATATTTTTAGAGCTTAGGATAAGTATGTGAATTGGGACGCAGCAACATTCTGTTTTTTAAATTCTATGAATACAGCCATACTACTCGGCTTGCATGCTGTTTTTGGTATGTGAGGTATGCTATTTCAGACGCAGCTTAAGATTTTTTTCATGTTCAATGTCTTTGGTTTCTTAGTACAGGGTGTCTACCAGGGACAATTCTGTGTTTCATCTCTATTTTTATTGTCTGACTTCTTATTGCCTACATTATTAGCTTTCTTTAATACTATGGCTTGAAGCAGTCTTCTGTTATGGGCAAGCCTAATTATTGCCCTTGTATATTTTAAAAAACAAAGCTACCATCATATTTCAATATTGACTGACTTGTGGTTAGTGAAGGTGGGATCCTGGCCATCCGGTGTCAGTGAAAGAGGGACAATAGCTTATGCAAGTCGACATTGCATTTCTCGGAGATACAACATCATGACACAATGCACTCAATGGAGCTAGTGACGTCACTGTAAGGGGTAGGGGCTGGGTTGGGTGTGTGCATTAAAAGCATTGCATGCAGCTCAGCTAACAACTGCACCTGCTCTGCAGCCAGACCTTGAGAAAAGGGGGAACAGTCAGAAGTGAGAGCGATTTGATGCTTATATCAAGTTAAAAGCGTGAATAAGCTTTATAAGGTACATCACAGGTCTCGAACTAGATTCCTGGAGGGCCGCAGCTCTGCAGTTTTGCTCCAATTCTAATTAAACACGGCTGATCCAACTAATCAAGGTGTTCAAGACTACTAGACTAATAAGCAGGTGTAAGTTAAAGCTGGTTGGATTTAAACTATGAAAAGCTGTGGCCCTCCAGAAATTGAGTTTAAGACCACTGGGGTACATTGAAACACACAGTAGGACTTACTGTGTGAAATGTCATGTATCCCTTCAAATGTCATATATAATCACCAAATCAGCATTTCAACTTTGGAAACGCTAATTTAGCCTACAAGGTGAAAAAAAAAGATGCATTCTGTGATGTTTTGGTTTACAGAAATGAAACTGGCTGAATTAAGCAGACTACCTGTTATTCATTCTCGAGACGGCACTAAAGAGTCAAGAAGTGCGGTGTGACGGACAAGCAGACACATGTGAATGTGGATGTAAGTATATGAATTTGAATATGTTTACAGACAGTTGAGGTGATTTGAAGTTCCTCGATGAGCCTGTGTTATTTAGAGGTTGTTAGCTAGCGGTAACATAACTTGGAATATTGCGAGTGACCAATCAGAAGGGAGTATTCCAGACAGAATTTCAACAGGTCCAGATTAAAACGAAATCTTTTTTAAAATCATTATTATTATTATTATTTATCTATAATTTTACAATATAACAAATAGCACAATTGACAAAAAAGAATATTCAGCATTAAGTAGCATCAGAGTGTACAAATATAAAAACATGTACATCAACAAATCCAGTTTATGTTACTAGATTAAAACAGAAATCAATACAGTAACTTTTTAATCTGCACAGATTCCAAATCCTGTCTTCAAGCACTTGAAACTTCTAAGTGTGATCACTCCGTAATTTCCATGATTGTAAAGAAAATGACAACCTTAGAAGATAAGAAGTTCAACATTATCTTCTGTTGGATATGGGAATAGGTGGAAATGACCTGACAGAAGAAGCAGCAAAACAGGCTATCTCCTTCAATGTGACAACGTTTAATTCCGCCTGAGGACTTGAAACCCACAATTAATTTGTACATGATTGAAACATGCCAAAGAGAATGGGAAAACTGCATAAATAATAAATTGCATGAAATTAACCTGAAAATAAATGAAAGACATTTAGCAAGTTATCATTTTGATACCAGGCATGATCAGACTGTCTACACATTTATGTGTCACATAAATTGAACAACGTTGCACCACATAAATGTAATAACTGCCAGGCTGCTCATACCATAAAACATATTTTGTTGGAATGTGGAAGTTTTAATACCATTAGACAAAAATTTGAAAAAAAAAAAAAAACAAATTGATCAATATTCAACTGAAAAATCATATTCAACTTTGACTATTTTTGTGTGAATTTTCTCTTTATTTTTATTATATATTTTATTATAATTATTCTCTTTATTTTTTTTTTAACTTTTTTGTGTAATATGAATTTGTTTTTATCATGTAATATTTTATGTATATCCATTTTGCCACAAAATAGCCATACAGTAAGTTGCTGACGTGGAAATAAATAAATAATAAAAACAGGAATCAAATAACAGCTTGTGTAAAGTCAGTGTAATAACAGTAGGTATTATGTAGGCAGAGGTCAACAGGTTCATAAAATTATTCCAGGTTTCTAAAAATATGTTTTGTTTTTTAAGCTATTGGTTAAATTTTGCATTCAATGGCCGTGTCATTTATGATATTTTTAAATAATTCAAATGTTGGAGGGAGTTCCTGTTTCCAGTTTAACAGAATAAATTTCCTAGATACAGAAGAAATTAGACCTATCCTATCCTAAAAAAAAGGATCTGATACCTCATTCAAGTCCACCCCAAAAAGATATATTTAAGGAGTCTTGTGATATTTCTTTCCCAGGACCATCACAGAGAGCTCATGTACAGAATCCCAAAAACTCATTTAGTTTTTTACAGTTCCAAAATATATGCATGATGGTGTCCTTATGTTTCTTACATAGGTTACATAAAGGCTATTCACCCGGATATTCTACTGAGGTGAACTGGGGTCAAATATATTCTTTGTACAAATTTGTAATTTTGTTCAATTATTTAGTTACTAGAAAATGTAAAAAGATATACATTCGTATACAACATCCCACTGATCATCAGCTTTTTACCATAAGTTTTTATATGATATTAACTCTCATGTCATGTTCACATCCTGCCCCTTACTTTAGTGTTCCCAGTTAAAATTGGCCGGTCTGTTTTAACTGCTCTTATATTAAAATCATTTTTCTTCACCAAATTTTAATTCAGCAGTCTTTAGCGGTGAACAATGTCTCAAAGTATTGTTTAACATGAATTTACAGAATTAGACATAAAATAACTGCAATGAAACTGCAAGAAAGAAAGAAAGAAAGAAAGAAAGAAAGAAAGAAAGAAAGAAAGAAATTTGACACAGATGTCAAATAGTTATGTTTTCTTGTGAGATCAGGCTTGAGGATCAGCACATAAGCACGTAAAAGAGATGTGTACCTGCCAGACATTGTTCAGTCTGGAGTGAGTGAGTGAGTGAGTAAGTTGGGGTAGTGTGTGTTGGGATGTTTTCTGTCTGATGAATGAATATAATCTGGATACCCATTTATTTCCTATGGCGGTCACTTTTGACCGGGAACACCACAGGTGTAACAAGGCCAAATAAAACACTGGAAATTCAATGAAAGAGATGATCATCACTTTTATATGTTCAAATGCATAGTGTGGAGGATATCATAAGGTCTTGAGGCAATCGGATGTAAAACAATATCTATGAGTGCTTAAAGTTGTAAATCGGTCAGATTTGACCCGAACACGACAGGAAGGTTAAAGAAGAATCAGCTTGGTCTCTTAAAATTGCATCTATCTCAGATATCTTTACCTTCACCATTGAAGTAATCTCTAGAACAGGGACCAGAAAACTTGTTCCTGGAAGTCAGGTGTCCTGCAGAATTTAGCTCCAACCCTTATCAAACACGCCTGAACAAGCTAATCAAGGTCTTACTACTTAAAACACCCAGGCAGGTTTGTTGAGGCAAGTTGGAGCTGAACCCTGCAGGGCACCGGAACTCCAGAAACGAGATTGGTGACTTCTGCTCTAGAATGTTTTCTAATTTAGATCATTCCAGTGAAATATGACCCTTAGGCGTCATATTTAGGCGTCTAAATTGTAGGTACAGTTAAAAAGAAATCTTTTATAAAACAATATAAAAAAATAAACAAATTTGGAATTATCAATATAAATTGATTAATATGTCTTGAAGTAGTTCTGGATGCTTAATTATAATAAACAAACATTCATTTTCTTAAAGTAAAATATGTATTTTGGAGTTAAATGTCACCGTAATGGGTTTCTGTAGCTTCATACTTGACACAAGAAACATATTAGACCTCAGAAATGTATACAGAGACACTTTAATTTCAACTCCATTTCTGTAAACAATTTGACATTATTGATATGAGATGGGCATCTGTGATTTAGAGAGGTAAGAAATTTGTGCTTTAATACAAGTTAAAACGGCACATTCTTCTTGACCAGACATGATCCGTAACTGTAAGATGAGTAGTTAAATGAGTATGTGCTTTACATCTCATACATCAACAATACTAGATATTGTTCCTCTTGCTTGGACTATCACTGCCAGCCAGCGATTAAATGAGCGACTTGTTCAAAGCTCAAAAGATTAGATCCCAAGGTCAAATATACAAAAGCATTTCCAACATCAAGCATTGCGATGATCTCATGTGTGCTTGGCATGAAGCATTTCAGTCAGCAGTGAGTTGCAGGGAAGATCTCCCAGCAGGTGGCGCTGATACAGGTATTCCTCCACCTGCAGGCTGATGCTCCGCACCTCTGGCAGACGGAGCAGCAGCTGTCCGAACTTGTCAGAATGACCTGGGTGGGTTTGCATAGTGTGGTCCATCAAAGCCTTGTTTACACGCTCTTGTGTTTGTTCTACCTGCCTTCGGTTCTGTACTGATTTAACATCTGTTAACAAAACAGAATCTTGAAACATGAATTTGAGCAGGAATATTTCAAGCATTTGGGCCTGAAAGGACACCCACCTGGATTGAAGAGAACCAGATATTTTAGACACACAAACTCCTCTCTGTCCAGCTGTAGTGATCTAAGCTTGGTGACAAGGTCCTGGGCTCTAGACACCAGACTACTGAGGGTCATTCCAGCCTGACTGAGAATGGTTGATGCTTCAATCTGGTAAGTTAAAAGCAAGTCAAAGAAAATTTTAAGCAATCCTAAAGTCAGCACCGAGCAATTAATACATCCAAACATAAGTTTCTTGGCTAAAACAAGGCTAAATTTGGGCTGCATTTAAAATCGAATAGATGTCTAACAGTCCAAATATATATAGTCATCAACAGATTACACAGACTTCACGTGTAGACGTTCATTCCTGTGTATATGATGACTACTGTATTTTTGAACAATTGTTAAATGTCTATTAGATGTTTACTGACTACTCAAATGTAGCCTTGTTTTAGCCAAGATGTCTATCAGAGGTGTTATAATGTTTGACAACCCTGTTCCTGGATGCACACTCTTCATTCTTCCTGATTGAACTCATCAGCCATGCTATCTTGAAATATATACACTACCTGACAAAAGTCTTGTTGCTGATCCCAGTTGTTGGAGCAACAAATAATTTGTTTACTTTTAGTTGATCATTTGGAAAAGTGGCAGAAGAAAGATTTTTCAGATGAATCCTTCTCATGCTTCAGCCTTCACATCAAAGTTCCTGAAAGCAAAGAAGGTCAAGGTGCTCCAGGATTGGCCAGCCCATTCACCAGACATGAATATTATTTAGCATGTCTGGGGTAAGTTGTTGGAGGCATTGACGATGAATGTAAAGAATCTTCATGAACTCTAAGAGTCCTGCAAGAACGCTTTATTCGCCATTCCAGATGACTTTATTAATTGCAGAGTCATTGCTGAGATGTATGGATGCGGTCCTTCAAGCTCATTAGTCTCACACAATATTGATTCTTTTTCCACCGCACCATGACTTTATATTTTATACTGTATTATTTCTGTTAAGTGACAAGACTTTTGTCTAAACAAAGTCAGACTTTACTGTCCTAATTAAATCATTAAAAATCAAGGCATGATCATATTTTATTTAGGTAAAAAGTGTAATCTAGAGGCTTTTGCCTTTCATATAAACTACTTATAAAACCAAATGATCAACTTGAAGTCAAGTTATTATTTGTTGTTCCTAAAACTTGGATAGGCCACAAGACTTTAGTCAGGTGGTGTAAGTCTGATGTGGGGTGTGTGCAAACTGTCAAATGTTGGTGTGGCTCCATCAACAGGGTAGGGAAAGACTGGTTTAGTGACAGAGGAAATGTTACCTGTTGTCCTGTAATCAGACAGATGCTGCCATCTCTCCCATAAGCCACTTGCCTGCACAAGTGATCCAGGACAAGAAGCTCACTCCAGCAGCTCTGCAGTAACACCATTTGATCATCCACCTGCACAAGATCAGGTACCCTGGTTATGCATTTATAATATTTGTAAAATTAAACATTTCCTTTTGAAAACACCTACAATGATGAACTTTGTCTCTGTTGGAAATTCAAGAATGTATGTTTTTCTGGACACTTTAACAGTGCTTTTCAAGCTTGGAGGCATACAAAATGTGCATAATGTAGTGGGTCCCCAGGAGCAGGATTAAAAACCATTGCATTGTAGTACCAAGCATGGGATGCTGGTGTGTTCTCTAGGCCTCTATAACAGTAAGATTTATTTGTCAGACAGTCTCACCATAAAGACCAGACTAGTTAATGACTCTTATCAAAAATATTTGCTGTTTGTCAGCGCCAGTGGTGTCGGGGTTAGTGCGTCGACACATGCACTCTGGTGCCCTTGGCGACCCGAGTTCAATTTCAGCCTTGCGGTCCTATGCCGATCCGTTTCCTCTCTCTGCTCCTCATACTTTCCTGTCAATACTCTACACCAGTGGTCACCAAACTTGTTCCTGGAGGGTCGGTGTCCTGCAGATTTTATCTCCAACCCTAATCAAACACACCTGAACTAGCTAAGCAAGGTCTTACTAGGTGTACTTGAAACACCCAGGCAGGTGTGATGAGGCCAGTTGGAGCTAAATCCTGCAGAGACACCGGCCCTCCAGGACCGAGATTGGTGACCCCTACTCTAAACCTTCCTATCCATTAAAGGTGAAACCCCCCCTAAAAGTTATTTAAAAATAAATAAATAAATAAATAAATATGTATATATTTGCTGTCGGACTAAATTTCAGAGTAGCTCCATTGCTTAAAGCGGTGGTTCTCAATTCCGGTCCACGGGTGCCCCCTGCCCTGCACATCCTGTCTCTCTTATTTGACACAAGATTCAGTTCATGGATCTCTCTGTTAACCAGCTGATGATCTGAACCAGGTGTGTTAAGGAAGACATACAAAATGTGCAGGGCAGATGGGCCCAAGGACTGGAATTGATAACCATTTTGTTAGAGCAACATATGACCAGCTCAAACCATCTGAAATTAGGTTGGATCAGTGACCATGCTTCTATTTATTTATTTATTTTTTATTTATTTTTTTATCAAACGGTAAAGTGCCAACAACATTTTTGTTTATTAAAGTTGGGGTTAGAGAAGGGGTAAAGTTGGGGTTCCTCCAGGGTTAATCTGGAACTCTAATTAAATACACCAGATCCTGCTAATTACTCTCATTAGGATACATGTGCAGCTATAGATGTTGGTCAGAGTGGGAGTGGGACTCTACAAGACAGCTGATCTCTGGGGCCAGATCTGTCCAGTTCTAGGTAAGACACTTCAGACCAGTTCAGTCGGTGGCATTTAGCTCAATATTTGTTTCTCTGAGGAACATTTTTGGAAAACCAAAATATTACTGTAATTCCAGGCTAAAATCTGTGGTATTTGATAGTTGGTTTGACAGGTTCAGTGACTGTCAATTGATGTCAGTTGCAATCAGAATTTCCCTGCTACAAAATTCTGGCAGTGTCTGAAGGTTTGGAATCCTTTCTTGGAGGCTTTACCTTCTCTTATGGCAACTATCAAACCAAGAACCAGTAGGAGCACTCAAGCTCACTGAAACAACTTCCAACCACAGTGAAATGTCAAAACAATTGAACACATGGTTGTATTATCAAGGCATGTTATGAGCAAATGTAATTTGTGATTGTTTATGCTTGCTGTGAAGAGAGCATTTCAGAATGCAGGGTAGTGAATGTGTCATGGATGGATGACGTCAAACTAAGGATGAGTCTTGAGTCTGTGTTTGGCACGTCTAGATTGTTTCTCAGTCTGACATTACGACAACTGAGAAAGTACAGTGTGACATAGGGATCATCTGACAAACTACAATCAAAAAGGATTATTAAAAATAACTGTGTAAGTCTGGCTTTACATAGTTTTCTCTCAACCAGCAATTTCCCTTTGATTTTAGAGAGATTATTGCATGGTTAGTGTTGAGGTTAGGGGTAGAGTTCTAGCAAAATATTACACCAGTACATAACACAAAATATCCTCTTTAATTAGATCCTATTTTTTAGATGAATGTGTGTGTGAATACATGCAGTCCTCTACCTTAAGCTCCTTAAATAATTCACAGTTCCTTGCCCACTCCACCAATCCGAACAAAGTCTGGTCAGCCATTTTGCACATGATGCTGAAGGTGTTGAGGCGGTCATGTTTTCCTCTGCAGGCTTGTTCTCTCTGGAGGCTTGCTAACACCCGCATGCAGAGTTGCTTCTCATCTGGCTCGGCTTGCAGGAGCTGGTTTAAGAAAAAGGAACTTGGGGCTGTGGTTGAGGTGGGGGTCAAGCTCTGTGATGGAGTTGGGGTGGAACTCGGAGTTGAGGCTGGCGTGAGAGTAGGTGCAGGTGTGGAGAGAACTGTAGGAGACATTGGACCAGGAGGCGTCACAGAAGCAGGGTTGTAGTTGAAAGGGATCTCTCTTTTGTCTGGAGGGTATCCGTGGATGCCTGGATAGCACACTGTGTGAATAGGTAGGGATGGATCTGAAAATGTTCGGTCTCTGGGCATGGTGCAGTCCAGCAGCACTGGAAATTCAGACTGGCTCATATTAGGGTGGAAGTGCTGGGTTGGGTGGTAATGGTCAGTGCCAAGAGAAGCAGGGTTAGGGTTGATGACGTGAAAATCATGAGGCAAAGCAGGCACCAATTGTTGTGGTCCCTCAATTTTGACTCTGTATGGGGCAATGTTTGCCTGGTGATAGGTCCCTCTTTGCTGTTTCAGTTGCCTGTCCCGTCGGTATAAAGGTCCAAACTTGTTTCTGCCACCTCTCATCCTGTCTGCACGAACAGCTGTGACACATGATTTCATAAAAAGTGAATCACACATTGTGAAGTTCAGAAACTAAGGATACGTTTTAGACAATTCCTCAGTTCCCAAACAAGTTCACCAATCCTAGAGGCGCAACACACCTGTCCTACCTGGCTGTTTGTTTTAGAACCTTGTGTATTCTGTTTGTTTATGCCAGGGCTTTTTTAACAGTCCTAGAGAGTTTTACTCCAACTTGCCTCAATGTGCTTGTCTAGGAGTCCAATTAGGATAGCTAAATATGCAGGACAGTGGCCTTCCAGGAACAGGATTGGACACGCCTGGTTTAGGTATATTTGAACATGGCAATCATGATCGGACCCTCACCAAACAATCAGCCAGAGATTACCTGAATGAGGGGGTCTCAGCACACTTGAAACTAACTTTTGGAATTGTTTGTGGTGATAAAATGAGTTAAGCCTATATGAAAAGGACTGATATGGTTTTCATGTAGATTTCAACAAGGCTATTTTGTCAAAACTATTATACATTTTCAGTCTATATACATGGATGAGTACTTAACCAAAACAGCAAAAAATAGCAAACTACAGGAGTGACTGTATGTGTGAAGGTCCATGGTGTTTTTAAAACTCCCAGGGTTTTCCCAGTTGGTGTGCTGTGGAATTAAATGTATGATCTTGATTTGGCAGTGATCAGTAACTCTGGACTTTGGACTTACAGGCAGTCTGACAATACCTGGCCACTTCCAACATCCATTGACCACAGCATATCCATTCAGTCCCCAGTTGCCTAATCTGATTAGCCTGGCAAAATGATTTATTTTTTGCCTCGCCATTAATTTATAGTTTTCTTTACAAGGTGTGCGGTATAGTAGATGTTTTTGCTAATTAGTTTAAACTGATCATTTTGGCAATGTTGTTGTCTGAACTTAAACTTTTTAAATTCTCAAAAAAAGTCACACAAACTATGGTAACACTTTATTTTGACTGTCCACTTGAGTATTAGTAGACTGTCTGCTTAATAATTGCTGATACTGCTCCTTCAACAGACTGGCTATAAGAAAAGTACATGTCAACTTGCACTAACCTTAACCCCAACCTAACAGTCTACTTACAATCTACTGAGAATTAGTTGGCACGTAGATGCAATGTTAGTTAAATTTAACAACTTGGCCATCAAAATAAAGTGTAACCCAAAGGTTTTCACACTGTCACAAAAAATGTGCAAACTTGTGGTACATTTTTAAAACTTAACTTAGTTTAAATTAAATTGTATTAGCTTAACTCTTCATCTAGAGGTTTCTAAACCAGAAGTGATGAAATCAGATATGGTATAAATTTAAAATGTGTACTATTGAAGTGCTTTCAGGAACAAGATTGGGAAACATTGCTCTAAATCAGTGTCCAAACTCGGTCCTGGAGCACCGGTGTCTGGTGAGTTTAGCTACAACCCTAATCAAACACACCTGAACTTTTCTGAACTGAATTTTTTCAGGACACTTTTGATACACCTTAAAGGGGCATTTAAAGGCTTAACTGGGTTAATTAAGGTAACTAAGCAGGTTAGGGTAATTAGGCAAGGTATTGTATAATAAAGGTTTGTTTTGTTAACTATTGAAAAAATATATAGCTTAAAGGAGCTATTAATTTTGACCTTAAAGTGTTTTTTTAATTAAAAAACTGCTTTTATTCTTGCCAAAATAAAACAAGACTTTCTCCAGAAGAAAAATATTATGAGACATACTGTGAAAAATTTCTTGCTCTGTTAAACATCATTTGCTCTGTTAAACATCATTTAAACATCAACTTCTATTATTTAAATTGATTTTACATGAAGATCCTGACCTGCAAAAGTTGTATAATGGTACTTTTATTTTTCTTGTGTGCATGTTACAATTGTAACTTTACTGGGTCATCAAATATTGCTTCTGCAGTGGTTTATGGTTTCAAAGATAAGTGGAAACAGGATCAGAGCTATCTTGGATAGCTAGCCATTAATATCTCGCCATATCTCCAAGACAACAACTCTGTTTTCCTAGCACATTGTCTTAACTTAAAGAACAAGTAATCTACCAAACTTCATAAACACTGTGTGTACCTTCTTTCTTCATGCCGACAGCTACACATTTCTGGAAGCGGCAGTAAGGGCATCGTTTCCTCTGTGCCAGGTCCATGGGGCAGTTCTGTGCCTCTGCACACGTATAGCGCTTGTTGTTCTGCACAGAGCGCTTAAAGAAGCCCTGGGGGAATGTTTGTAGAGTTTATTATCTCAAAGCTACCGCTGCATACTTGTCTCTGTCTTGCTTTGACACGTACCTTGCAACTCTCACAAGTAAGTAGACCATAGTGATATCCAGACACCCTGTCGCCACACACAGGACAGCCCTCTTCTTGAGTCGCACTACTCTCTGGGTCTGGCTTTAACTCCTGAGCTATGGGATATCACAATTATTGCACGAATGGAAGGGGTGATGGTTCAAATTTAAAGCAAACGCAAGTCTGGAAACGGCCACTCAGAATCAAAGAGATGATTGTCTAGAAGTGGGCTGAACAGTTTTATGACCGGTCTGTCTGATAATCGCACGGAGCAGTCTATTATATCTCAAACAGTCTTATCACTAGATTGATGAAATCTGGAGATATGGGGCTTACATAATCCTTAAAGTCGAACATTCAGTTTTCGTAAGATAAATAAACTTCTGCTAAATACTATAAGTGTACTTTTTTGATTCGCTGAAGCATTTATCTATGCATCTAGACATAACAAATCTTTTCTTAAATGATTAAGCTGTCCCGATCACAACTAAACACCAATCAAACGAAATTATTCCCATAAATATTTTATTCTCAAGGACTTTAAATGTTTATCTCTTACTATCCTTAACTTTCATTCTGAATGTGGCCAAATGTCTAAAATCTGAAGTTCTACTTACATGTTGACGGTCTCTCTTGTGACGCATGGTCTTGTGTGAATTCGGCCGCCAGATGAACCGAGGGCTGGGGGGGATCCAGGGGATAGCTTGAGATGTTCATGGTGCATAGGAGCAGGGGCGGTGTGGGTTACTGTAAGCTGTCATTCATACCTGTGTGGGCCTCCGGGATTCAGGACAGGGAGGAAAACAGGCGCAGGCTGTCTCTGAGATGGTGCCGTGTAAAGGCCCTCAGTTGGACTTTGCTCCATGTTGAGGGTAATAAACCTGAGTCTGTCACACCTTCCCAACCAGCAAGACCTCACTCTTGCTGGAAACAAAGTGCATGAGCTTAGCAGAAGCCGCATACATGAAGGAACCCACTCACCATAAGATATTAAACACCAAATTGGATCTAAAGACAAAGTTAAAATACAAGAACCTCTACGAGTACTAAATTCCAAGTAGATCAGCACTCAATTTTACAGTCCCCTTTTGGTCACACTTTATTCTGATGGACCGCTTGTTGAATTTAAGTTACATTGCATTTACATGCCAACTAATTCTCATTCGATTATAAGTAGACTTGGGTTGGGGTTAGGGTTAGTGCAAGTTGACATGTACTTGCAAAGTGTCCTATAGTCAGTTAAAGGAGCAGTATCAACAGATATTAAGCAGTCAACTAATACTCAAATGGACCATCAAAATAACATGATACTCCCCTTTTAATTGAGTGGAGATAATACTTGAAACAAATAAATATGATTATTCTTAAGGACATGTGCGTATCATATTGTTTTGCTAACCGATGTATTGTTTATCAATGAGTGACTTCCAGCACCTTTGGAATCAATTACAAAACATCAGTCTAATAACAATGAAGGGAGCAGGTAAGTTCAGGGATGTGGGTTCTGACGTCAAAGGCTTTAAAGCAGTTCAAGGGTGATTGATTAACCTGAGTAATGGAAATCAAATGTTTGCGTGTGTTTCCTCTGGGGGCTCCGGTTTCCCCCACAGCCCAAACACATGTGGTATAGGTGAATGTATGTATTGATGTTTCTCAGTGGTGGGTTGCAGCTAGAAGGGCATCCGCTGCGTAAAACATATGCTGGATAAGTTGGCGGGTAATTCCTCTGTGGCGACCCTAGATTAATGAAGGGACCAAAGCCGAAAAGAAAATGAATGAATAAATCATGGTGACCTGATGTCCCTATGTAGTTCTGGTGCACTGCTGGAATGTGTGCTGCTGTTAGTTATTAGCCCCTTTCACACATACAGACCTTTCCGGAAAATTACCGTAACATCCTCGCCTGTGTGAACAGCGCTTTTTTTGTATATACCGGTAAAGTCGTTCCGTAAATTTTCCGGATATTTACCGGTATCACTGTGTGAAAGGGGCTAATGCATCATCTCATCTGCCTGAATACAGTATGGGGAGGGGTAAGGATTAGGTGTGGGGTGGTTAGGATTAGGAAGTTACATCAGGTAGATACTTGAGCGAGGGAGTACAAAATCTGTGAGGTGAATTTTTCATTTTGATCCCTGCTTCGATTTACTGGGTTACACATACAAGTTGTTTTTGTACCTTTTGAAACATGCTTTCGAGAAATTTCATGTTTATTGTCCAACTTTTACACTGAAAAATTAACACCTCTAGTTAATCCCATTTGTGGGCAGCTGGTGTCCTGTGTTTTCCCACTGACACTTGCTGGTGCAGGTTTTTCCTTCACAAATGTTAATTAATATTACAGTGCATCTGGAAAGTATTCATAGCGCTTCACCTTTTCCCACTTTTTTGTTACAGCCTTATTCCAAAATAGATTAAATTAATTGATTTCCTCAACATTTCACACACAACACTCCATTATGACAATGTGAAGGAAGAGTTTTTGAAATTGCTGCCAATTTATTAAGAATAAAAAAGCTGAAAAATCACATGTGGAAAGGGTGAAGTGCAACAAATACTTTCTGTATGCACTGTATATTTATATACTGTACAGTGGGTAGGGAAAGTATTCACACCCTTAAATTTTTTACTCTGTTTATTGCAGCTATTTGCTAAAATCATTTAAGTTATTTTTCCCTGTGTACACACAGCACCCTATATTGACAGAAAAACACAAAATTGTTGACAATTTTGCAGATATATTAAAAAGTAAAACTAAAAGTAAACTAAAATGTCACATGATCATAAGTATTCAGACCATTTTCTGTGACTCTTCAATATTTAGCTCCAGTGCTGTCCATTTCTTTTGATCATCCTTGAAATGGTTCTACACCTTAATTTGAGTCCAACTGTGTTTGATTATACTGATTGGACTTGATTAGGAAAGTCACACACCTGTCTATATAAGACCTTACAGCTTACAGTGCATGTCAGAGCAATGAGAATCATGAGGTCAAAGGAACTGCCTGGAAAGCCCAGAGACAGAATTGTGGCAAGGCACAGATCTGGACAAGGTTACAAAAAAACTTCTGCCACACTTAAGGTTCCTAAGAACACAGTGGCCTCCATAATCCTTAAATGGAAGATGTTTAGGATGACCAGAACCCCTCCTAGAAAACTGTTATCAGGGGATCTTGGTGAGAAAGGTTAAGAAGAACACAAAGATCACTGTGGCTGAGCTCCAGAGATGCAGTCAGGAGATGGGAGAAAGATGTCGAAGTCAACCATCACTGCAGCCCTCCACCAGTTGGAGCTTTATGGCAGCGTGGCCTGACACATACAAAGCCTGCATAGAGTTTGTTAAAAACAACAGAAAGACTACAAAATGGTGAGAAATAAGATTCTCTGGTCTGATGAGATCAAGATAGAACTTTTTGGCCTTAATTCTAGGTGATATGTGTGGAGAAAACCAAGCACTGCTCTTCATCAGTCCAATACAGTACCAACAGTGAACAGTGTGGAGGCAGCATCCTGCTGTGGGGGTGTTTTGCAGCAGCAGGGACCGGACGACTGGTTACAATCGAAGGAAAGATGAATGCGGCCAAAAACAGGGATATCCAGGATGAAAACCTTCTCCAGAGTGCTCAGGACCTCAGACTGGGCCAAAGGTTTGCCTTCCAACAAGACAATGACCCTAAGCACACAGCTAAAATAACAAATAAGCTTTAGAACAGCTCTGTGGCTGTTTTTAACTGGCCTAGCCACAGCCCTGACTTAAACCCAATTGAGCATCTCTGGAGAGACCTAAAAATGGCTGTCCACCAACGCTTACCATTCAAACTGACAGAACAAGAAAGGATCTGCAAGGATGAATAGCAGAGGCTCCCCAAATCCTGGTGTGAAAAACATCTTGCATCTTTCCCAAAAAGACTCATGGCAGATCTTCTACTCAATACTGAGAAAAGGGATCTGAATACTTAGGACCATGTGATATTTCAGGTTTCTTTGCATTTCTATCAATATGGAGAGCTGTGTGTACATTATTGAGGGAAAAAACTTCTGTAACCCTGTATAATTGGATGTTAATCTTTTTCTTCAAAATATAATGACTGCCTGTCATTTTTACGCTAGTTATAAGGGAAAAAAAGTCATTGTATTAAAATAAAATTAAGAAAGATAAATACAAACCAGGCGACTTGGTGGCACAGTAGGTAGTGCTGTCGCCTCACAGCAAGAAGGTTGCTGATGTATGAGTGTGTATGGATGTTTTCCAGAGATAGGTTGTGGCTGGAAGGGCATCCGCTGCGTAAAAATGTGATGGATAAGTTGGCGGTTCATTCCGCAGTGTCGACCCCAGATAAATAAAGGGACTAAGCCGAAAAGAAAATGAATGAATGAAAATATAAACCATGATTTTAAATTTTTGCTAAAGATAGAGTTGAAATACAGGATCGTCCTAAACCCTGGGATTTATGCTCATTATTAACTATTGTTCATATCAAGATAAATTCATGAATGAATAAGGTACTATTTTAAAACAAACAGTACAGTTTTCTGAAATGCATCTAGTCTCATGTAATCACTTTATCAAATGTCAATAAGATGCCAATAAAACAGCTGTTAAAGTCACGTGATGCTTTAAATAAATCAGAAAACTCAATACTTAGCAAGAAAATAAATATAGCATCAAACTAATCTTTAAAATGCTACATCGTTTATCTTAGCTTCTTACTGTAAAAATGGGAAGACATAGACCACTCATTCATACATACATTTTTACCTTATAACTGATCTAAATCCTTTAGGAATTATGTATAATTTGTATTATAATCACAAATTCTGTAATATAACAATGTTTGGCTTTGCACATATAATTTTGGATAAATGCAATATATTTTAAAATGACATTTCGTAATAATGAACTATAATAAATATATTGTTATAAAATCTAATTGTGATGTGATTTACATTATTATACTGTATAAAAGACGACTGACAGTAAATATTTTCAAAAAAATAATTGATTGACTCTCAATTACATGTCTTACTGAAAAGATAATTTGCATATTTGGCACATTTTATCTTGATATATAAGAACCACATATGAATAATAAAGAAGTAGTTCTCTCAGTAGATTAAATGCTTATCCTGAAATATTAACGCCCACTTGATTTCACCATGTAAGACATGCTCCTGGATTAAAATCTATCCAATCAGCCAATCAGAATTAAGTAATATGTTTACTGTTTATGTTGTTTAGACATACACTTAGGCTTATGTACTTCTATGTGATTGTTATCAAACTATTATTCCCCTCTGATTTTGGGAATAATTTACAGTTATGGTTGGGTGTAGGGTATGGATTATATTTTTGAGGAAAAATGATATTCCAGTATCAACATCGATATTAATGCAGGATGGCATCGTACTTGAAAAAAATCATGATGTACAAATATTAACAGCCATGTTATTAGCCTGAATCTAAAGTTCTGTCATCCTGTACCCATTATTCACTTGTCACAAGCCTGTGAGAGCTTATTTTGTTCTGTTGAACACAAATAGTTTTTCCAACAATGAAAGTCAGTGGTTACATGATTCTAACATTTTTCTAAATTTTATGTTTAAACTTTTATTTTTAACAGAATAAAAGAAACTCATGAAATATTGAAACCACTTAAGGGGAAAGTAAACGTGAGCACATGTTCAGTTTTTGGGTGAACAACCTCTTTAACTTATTTATACTACATTTTATAAGAAATGGCCACAAGGTGGTGCAGTGTCTGCTGGCACCGTATATTACAGCTTCAAAATATACAGCATCTGCACAAATGATGAACCTGATCACGCTAAAAATCAACAATAAAC